GTGCCTGCTTAGGCAAGCTTAGGGAAGCACAGGGACTGCGGTTCGATTCCTGGCATAACATGCTATGCCAGCCCTGCCTCCAGGCCACAGAGTCCGGGCATAGTGGCATATACCTATAAGCCCAATGCTGGGAAGGCTGAAAACAACAGGATCACTATGAGTCCAAGCTGTATAGTGAGACCCTAAAACAACCAAATACATTAAAAAAAAAAAAAAAAAAAAGCAGAGGCTGAGGGTTTGATCCCTGGCCTGCCATGCCAGTCCCACCCACAGCGTGCACTGAGGTGATTGAGACTGGGCATGGTGGCAATGCCTGTAATCCCAGCACTTGGGAGGCTGAAAACAGAAGAATGACGAGTCCGATCTATGTAGTGAGACCCTGTACACCCTGCAGACCCTACCCTAAAATTCATTAAAAAAATAAAAGTAAAACCAAGAATCATTCTTATACAGGCAGGCAGCCTGAACGACACAGCAAGACCCTGTCTTAGAAAATAGAAAGATTGACTGACTGACTGATTAAGCGCAACAGAAGGCTAGAGAAAATTGGGGCAGAAATCAAGTTCAATTGTAGAAGTGTACAAAGAAAGTAAACTTCAGCCTGAGAGAGAAACATTTCCCTGACAGACTAGTTTGGGTGACTGCAAGTCTAGACAACAGAAAAGAAACAGTGTATTTTGGGCCCGGGGACATGGCTCAATGGAATAAGCGCTTCCCTGGCAAGCAAGCCCAAGGGCCTGGTTTCAGTCCCCGGTTCTGGAAAAAAAAAAAAAAGTAAACAGTATATTTAATTTTGAGGCAAAAGTCAACTGATCCAGGCCGGGGAGAAAGCTCAGTAGAACAAGCGCTTGCCTGACAACAGAAGGATAATTAAACACTTCTTTTAAAGATAAAAATCTGAACATACCTCTGTCTGATCTGGTCCAGTTTCTCAGGGTCTGTAATAACCACCTGAACACCAAGCTTCATTTTTGTTTTTTGCAGGCTGAAGTCAAGGCAAGCAATTTTTGCATTAACTATTCTCTTGGGCATGCCTGTGGTGAACAGAACATTAAGGTCTTTTCTGTAATGACAATAGTGCTACAGCTCACCAAACATGCCTCGCTTTGAAATCTTAAGACATAATAAATACAGTCACAACAGCACAAATTCACATTGTAACTAACTGAAGGGCACTGAACCCTGGAAGAGCTTAAAGGCTCTAAGTCCACACAAGCTCTCAGCTCACTCATCCCCACATTTTAGGTGTGCTAAGGTTACAGAAGAAATACTGCAAGCAGACTACAAAAGGGAACGGGCTGGAACTGTCCCGACTTCATTCCATGATGAAATCCCAAACTTACCCTGAGATCCCACCACACAGTTGAGTGCATAGCCGCTGATCAGCATGCTTTCCGTCTGACTCCTCCCGTGGGCTTTCAGAACATTCACAGAGTTGACCGGGTAGCGAGGCTGGCCTCGTGCATCAGTGTACTTAACAGCAAGTACAGCATCCACTACCATATTGGAAAAGAAATCACCATTTCTGTACCAACAATTAAGGATAACAACAAGACTCTGAGCAGAGGGTACACATGAAGATCAAGGACAAAAGGACTTTCCTCTAGCAGTCTCCTTCATCAGAGGAAAATCACCTATCAGTGCTACAGAAATCGCTACACTGTTATTTTTCACAATCTACACAGGCTACTTCACTGTTTCAGCCTAGAAAGGCAGGGCAGGCAGAAGGCAATGCCGTGTACCACTCCTTGTCTCTAACATTTTCAATCAGCAATAAAATGGTATCTTACGAAGAACTCAAGCCAGATGTGGTGGCACAGGCCCAGAATCCTAGCACTCTGGAGGCTAAGGGAGGACTGCTGACTTCAAGGGCCCCTTACTTTGTTCAAGCAAATTCAAGGACAGCCTAAACTACAGTGAGGCCCTGTCTCAAAGAGAAGACAGAAGAAAGAAAAGGACCACTACGAATCCAATCTGCGGAGCGAGACCCTGTCCTAAATAAAACAACAACAACAACAACAACA